TATATATATATATATACGTGTGTGTGTATGTGTGTCAGTCAGTCATGGAAGATTGGCAGATCAAACAAACACACTTCGAATAAGACATTGTGGGGAAAAAAAGTCCTCCCATTCTGCATGGAAGTGGTAAGTTTTCGGTTTCTTACTTGATTCGGCTCCCCCACTCATTTTATACCGTTTATTTAGTAGAAATTATTTGGAAGGCTGACAAGTAGTTTGCTCACTGGAGTTTTGTAGTAGCTCATGTGGTTGACTGCGCATGCTTGGTGATTTGTGTCACAAAAGACAAGATCTCAGACTGGCTGCCCTGCATGTCCATCAAGTAGCAAATACCGTAGGGAGGTTGGATGATAGGCTAACATCTAATTTATTTTTGAATGGCACGCGATCTACTGATGCTACCTTTGTGATCAACGTATTGGACACCCCTGATTTATATCAAAAAGGACTCTTTGATATGTGTTTTTATCTTGTAGACAAACCTCTGGCTGGGATGAAACTGTTGTCTGTGGGCAAGCTGCACAAGAACAAGGATGATTTGAAGGCCACTGTAGAGGAGATGGGTGGAAAGATTACCAGCGCAGCCAAAAAGGCCTCTCTCTGCCTCAGCACCAAGAGTGCGTAACGATTCCATACAGGGAAAACTAATACATAGAAATACCTTCAGTGTTAGTTTAAAAGCTTATTGTATTACCACAGACAGTACCATGTATAGTGTTGACCTTCTTATCTTCTAACGCATCCTTTGCTCTCTTTTCACAGAGGAGGTGGAGAAGATGAGTAAGAAAATGGAGGAGGTAAGGGACGCTGGCGTGCGTGTGGTCTCTGAGGAGTTCCTCACAGACATTAAGTCATCAGGCAAAGCTTTCCAGGAACTGGTCTCCCTGCATGCCATCTCATCCTGGGGTGCAGAAGTCAAAGTTGAGGCCGAGGCTTCATCCGTGGCCTCCAAGTCTGGAGCGCTGGCTACCAAGAGCACAGGGAGAGTGAAGGAGGAGGAAGGTAAAGACTAAGTATGAAAATGCAGTTATTAATGCATGTGAAAATGTGATGCCTTTCTAAATGTTTGGCCATTTTTCAGACGGTTGATTCTTGTAGATGTATTATAGTGTATCACTTAGTTGTATATCCATAAATTATTTCATCTGCGCTATTACAGGTGGAAGCAAATCGAAGAAGATGAAACTCACAGTTAAAGGAGGAGCTGCTGTGGATCCAGACTCAGGTACTTATGACTACCCTGCACTGGATAAACCATCTCTTTCCTTTATTTTTATTTGACTTTGATTAATGAGTTTGATTCTTAGGTCTGGAGAACAGTGCCCATGTCCTGGAGCAGAATGGGAAGATGTACAGTGCCACACTGGGTCTTGTCGACATTGCCAGAGGAACCAACTCCTACTACAAATTGCAGCTCCTGGAGGATGATGTACAGAAAAGGTCATTGCCTTTTTTTTTTTTTTTTTTTGTTCCTCATAGTGCAGAAGTTCTTTAATGAATATTCGGGTGGCAGCAGGCACAAACTGCTGTTAACATGCTAGCTGCAGTGCAATAACACTGTGTTAATGTCGCCTCACCTCTTTCCAAATTTGACAAGTCTCTTACACTGCCCATCTATCATTTGTGCGCAGGTACTGGGTGTTCAGGTCATGGGGCAGAGTGGGCACCACCATTGGAGGCAACAAGCTGGACAAGTTTAATGACAAGGACTCTGCCCTGAAAAACTTCCTGACTCTGTACAGAGAAAAGACAGGCAACAACTGGGGCTCCTCCAACTTCGCCAAACTTCCTAATAAATTCTACCCCCTGGAGATTGACTACGGACAGGTACGCACAAACACATACAACCCTAGGAAGCCTGCAGTATGTTTTCTGTACCTGACTAGGTTTTGTACTTGTGCATGGTGTTGGCGCTGCTGGACAGGATGAGGAGGCAGTAAAGAGGCTGACAGCCGCCACTGGCACCAAGTCGAAGCTGGCCAAACCTGTTCAGGAGCTCATCAAGATTATCTTTGATGTGGAGAGCATGAAGAAGGCCATGGTGGAGTTTGAGGTAAGATCATATTTGAGACAGAAGAATTACTACAGGCCAAATGACAGGCTTGATTTCCTCTGTTGATAAGTTTTGTTCTGCTTAGATAAATTACTCCCTGTATTGCATCATATCTTCTGGCACTGTGGGGGCAATTTGTTAAGAAATCATTATAATTTATTACCATGGATTAAAATTAGATATGACTTTGCACTTTTATGCTTCTGTTTACCAAATCTAGCACCATCAGTTTTAGCTTGCTATTAAAAGATATTAAAATTCCACATCTTCATCTCCATAAAACACATCTTCATGTACTTAGTGTGCATCCAACACTTTGTATTATTAGCAAATAAATATGTTGATTTTTTGTGTTAATGTAACCTCAGTTCATGCATTATTCTGTGTCCCATATATGTATAGCTTATTTCTTTTTTCCTCTCTCCAGATTGACCTCCAGAAGATGCCCCTTGGAAAGCTGAGTAAGAGGCAGATACAGAGTGCCTATGCTCTCCTCACTGAAGTCCAGCAGGTCAGTTACAAACTCCTGGTTGGTTGTCCCAGTTTTCACCTTTGTTTTGTGTTTCCTCCTATGTTTTTTTTTTTTTTTAAACTACTCTTATGATGAATTTCTACATTTAAACCAATAGCCCTTTTTCTGCCAGTTATTGGACCAGATATCTTCAGAAAATGTTTTCCTGTATCTTTAATAATATATTTCTATCATAGGCTGTGTCAGATTGTGTACCCGAGGCCCAGATACTGGATCTCTCCAATCGCTTCTACACCCTGATACCACATGACTTTGGCATGAAGAAACCTCCACTGCTCAACAGCCTAGACTACATTCAGGTAAGAGCACACATGCTGTACTAAACAGTACAATTTTCTTTTGTTTTGTCACCACTGATAAGCTAAATGCTGGATTTAAAAATACAAAAGGATAAGTACATCTGTGTAAATCCCTGTCCAGGCTAAAGTGCAGATGTTGGACAACCTTCTGGATATTGAAGTGGCATACAGCCTGCTGAGAGGAGGGGCCCAGGACAATGAGAATGATCCTATCGACATCAACTATGAGACACTCAAAACCAAGATTGAGGTGAGTTGTGTAACTGTTTCATTTATTTACTCTTTCAAAGTCACAGACAGTGTGTAAGATTATGCAATTTCCTGATTTTCTCTACTTTCTGTACAAAGTATGGAAAGGCTACAGTACTGTATGTGATATGTTTATTTTACAGGTTGTTGACAAGACCACAAATGAAGCCCAGATTATTATGCAGTATGTTAAGAACACTCACGCTGCTACACATAACACGTACACACTGGAAGTGCAAGAAGTGAGTGGGACAAAAAATTTAACAAGACATTTAACAAAACTTCATTTGAATGTCATGTTGGTCTTAGGCTGCACCTCTGTTGTAGCTAATAAATTCTTTGTGTGTTTCCTGGCTTTTTCCTCCATTGTTTAGATCTTCAAAATTGTCAGAGAGGGAGAGCACCAGAGGTACCGTCCCTTCAAGGAGCTACACAATCGCCAGCTACTGTGGCACGGTTCTCGCACCACCAACTACGCTGGTATCTTATCTCAGGGTCTTCGTATTGCCCCTCCAGAGGCTCCAGTGGTGAGTTGTGTTTGTGAGCTGAGTTCAAGTTTGTGGGGAACCAAAAGCAGCTCTTCCATTTGTTCTTCATAATAACACATCAGTTCCTCATTTATAAATACCATTGCTACATTGCCGTTTGCTGCATTTTCTCTAGACTGGGTACATGTTTGGCAAAGGTGTGTACTTTGCTGACATGGTGTCCAAGAGTGCCAACTACTGTCACACCTCCCAGTCGGACCCCATAGGCCTCATACTGCTGGCCGAGGTTGCTCTCGGCAACATGTGAGAGACAGTCTTCAGAGAAAGCATTAAATATACTTTTTTTTTCTCAGGCTACCTGTGATTATGTTGTTAAGTTGTCTTGCTTTTTTTAATGCAGGCATGAACTGAAGAAGGCTTCACACATTACAAAATTACCTAAGGGCACGCACAGTGTTAAAGGTGAGAAATGTTGATGGGATTGTTTTATGAAAAATGAAATGGAATTTGGTTTTCAGTACTACTATGTCCTGCCTTGTCTTAAGACACAAGCAGTCTCTCAGCCTACACCATATGTCTTTATAGTCTATCCACCCCACAACAGTCTTCAGGTTACCTCTTAGTCAGAATGGTATACCTGGCTCACAGTTAGTTGAAAAACCCTGATCTAGAATGAGGATTGATTTGTGTTCTTCTACACAGCTTCAATTTAGCATTTTTTTTTTTTGTCTTTTCAGGTTTGGGTAGAACTGCTCCTGATCCAAGTGCCATTGTCACTTTAGACGGGGTGCAAGTGCCTCTGGGAAAAGGAGTCAACACCAACATTGATGATACAAGTCTACTGTACAACGAGTATCCTTTAATATTTATCTCCCTATTTATGAATTTGATAGTTTTGTTGCTAAATGGCACCAATTTTGTTTCATACCTGGGTGAAATTAGCTACTCTGGTATGAACAGACAGAAATCAGTGACCTAGGCTGCTTGGTAGACACTGAACATTGAATTTGAAACCTCTCTGTTTGGTGTCCTAACCAGATCTCTTCACAAAATCTCTATTAAATTTGATCCTCTTCTTTTCACTATTTTGGTCATGTTATCTGTATAATCGCTTGTTTCTCTTAACTGCTGCTTCTCCAGGTACATTGTGTATGATGTTGCGCAGATTAACATGAAGTATCTCCTGAAGATCAAGTTTAATTACCAGACTTTGCTGTGGTAAGAGGGACTGTGTCTGAACCTTCTGCTGTGAAAGTAAAGACCAGTGTTGCCTCCAAATGTCTAGGCTTCATTCTCTGCAACAGAAGATATTTGGCAAAGGAGTGATAGTATATCACACTTTGCAGTGGTCATTGGAAATGTCTAGTCACTTTATTGCTTTTTCATCAGATTTCCAAGATACTTTAAATTCCTACTTCTGACTCGTAAGCTTCTCACAGCTCAGTACTATAGCTGAAGCATGCCACAAACTAGATAGAAAGGTTTTGGTTTAGACTTGAAACATCAGAAAATGTTTGTAGTTTGCTGTCTCACATTGTAGTGATACTTTTGAGAGGCAGGTTGCTTCTCTGTTCTTTAATGAACATGTAGTTAATAAGGCGTAGTACTGCAAGTTTAGAAAGAGTTGTGAACAGCCATCTACAAATTCGTGTTTATATTTCCTAGGGTTCCTAGGAAATTAACCACTAAGATGTTTTTGTACACTGTTGGGTTCCAAGATATTGTACCAGGTTTGACATGTATATACTTGTTTTTTGTTTGTTTGGCTTTTTAATCTGTCACCCTTTCCAGAAATAAAAAAATAAACATTCCTGTTCATGCGGAATATTCTGTAAAAGAAACAACTGCCATGGTACATCGTACACTTTGTTGTATTGTTTTTGTCACTTACCTCAAACAAAATAAAGTATCAAAAGTTATGAAATATTTCATTCCTGCATTTATAAAAAAAAAAATATTTTTTTCAGTTTTCAGGGAAGTAAATGTAAATATCTGATTTCAGAGTAATGAAATATTGATTTATCTATTTTAGGGAGTTTTCTTTATTCTCTTGATCTTTGGGCAGGTAAAAATGAGGGTCCACTACTCATCAGTACTCCAGAAGCCAGCGGGACCGCTGAAGATGCTTGCCTGGGCTTGAAGTTGAATCTTTTACCAAGATTAGAAACCCCCTGCCTATATGCCATGTTTTAAATATTCCTTTTGATATATCAAAAGAAATAAGAGCTCAGTGAGGTCTGATGTACATGCAAGAAAGTTACAAAAGACAAATTACAATGATAAATGAAAAGGTGAGAGTTATGAACACCTAAAACATCTATATTTTCTCAGTTATAGCAGAATGTAAATGTGTACTTACTCCATAAGAAATCTAGAATTCAGATGAGAAATCGGGAGCTAAGGCATGTAATAAGGATAATATAACTGAACACTGAAATCTTACTAGTAAAGAAAAAAACTATCCATTGCTTGCTAGTTGTCTTATTGGGTTCTTATTCTGTATATTCTACCTATTTCATTTGTTTTACTGGTGCCTGTAATCCAAGAAAAGGCTGACACACTAAACAGTCTGGAGATTTATAGGCCTATAGCCATAAGCAGCAGTTGATTCAAAGTGCTGGAGAACATTACTTCATCTTTACTGATGACAATCAGTTTGGCTTTAAACACTGATGTGTATCTACTGCCCACCCGTGGCGTTGCTACAGAAAGGCAGCATGCAGACTCATTGCAAAGAACCTGCAGCTCAAGCCAAGTCTAGTTAGTCTTCTGTTTTAGCCTTTCACTCAAACACATTTACTTAATAATTTACCACTTGAAGGAAAGCAATAACGAAAGCAGCTACTTGCAACTGGAGATAAACATTTAAACCCAAATAAAGCATTTAAACCATTTCTAACAACAAAGAAAAATTAAATGTATGTTAAATTAAATAAGTGAAGTGCTGTATGAAATGGCGGGATGTTATGTCCAGTTTTTCCACAAGAGACGGGTTTCCTAGCATTTATGGTAAACTGTTGTACATATGTTGGTTCATATTACGCGAATATAATTGTGTCTATAAATATGTAATACAAAGTCATTCTCCAACTATCGGTTTAGTAAATTTTGGGCTTTTATGCCTCAAATAACCCTCCAAATATTGTCCCGACCCAGAATGCATTTTGACAAGGTCTTTGAAAAAGCGGCGCGGCTAATTCAAGATGGCGGAGATGGACCAGCTGTTAGACGAGAGTGAGTAACAGAAATTGAAGGGAGTTTTGCATCGTAAACACGAAGCGACCCGGTGGTGATAAAATATGTATCTAATGATATGCTACTGTCGTTGTTCATGTAATGGTTATTGGAAATTAATGGGCAGAGTTCATAAAGTCATATTTAGACGAAAACGAGATATTGGCTTGTCCGGGTCAGCCAACGTTTGTTAGCACGAAAGGCTAACCACAGCTAATGTTGGAGTTGAGCAAGTTACTTTAGCCCAACTGGGTAAACAAATAACGTTAGCTTAGCTACGAGCTAATGTCTGCTAACATTAGATTGTAAGCATTAACAACAAAAAGACTCCCATAACATCTGTATTGAAAGAGTACACATGCTAACAACTAGCAGTTTGTTTTGCTAGTAGTTACTGTTCCGTGACACCTTCATTTTAACGTTATTCAACTGTAGTTAGCGCAGATTAACGTTACATTGTGACGTGTTGTGTGTCATTTTGACAAGGTTCTGAGGGGAAACCCATCAAATTAGCAGGCTGTTAACGACTTGAATAGCAATTTGAACCGATCTGAACATAACCTTGTTAACGTTAATGTAACTGAATATTATCTCCAGTTTGTAACTAGCCCCAGCTTGTGACTCATTTATTAACGCTACATAAACTCGAGTGCATGTAATACATGAGAGTCACAAGCTGGAAGTGGGTTGTAACATAGTGTAACGTTAGCTTGGTTTAGCATATTTGTTGATATTATATTTCCAGCTGATATCATGCCCGTGCTTGACAGCTCTAATTGGAGGTAGAGGCCTAGGTTAAATGTCTGCTAGCTACTTCTAACTCCAGTTTAATCTACCTGGCTGCTGTCAGTGTTTAAATGACAGTCTACAGGCAGACGGCCAAAATAAACGTATCATATTATTTTAAAATGAGAGCGCATGGCCTAGCATTAGTCATCCCTCTTTATTGGGACAACAGTTTAGTAATATAATAACAGCAGTTTATTGTCTGTGTGTTTTCTAATGCCATTAGTGTGATACTGTAGATTGATGTAGTCCAATTTGTCCTCTTCCTTAGGCTCTTCAGCAGAGGCCCTTGTCAGTCTAAAAGGTATGTGGCCAGCTTCGTTATCATTCTCTACATTTGTTATACAGTTCTTGGCCCTGTGTGAAAGTACCTTGGAAGCTCCTTGTATGCCAAAACCAATTTCTCTCTTTGTATGTCTGACAAAGTTTGCTATTTAAATGTGTTCAGTGATATTGAGTCTTTCAGTGGACTAAACGTAAATGTTACCCTTCATAATGAAGCCTGTGGTGATAGCCCACACTACCTGAATAGCATGCTGTTTTTAAACTGCATGTGGGAAAAATAGTCTTGTAGTGGAAATTAGGGGTGTGGTGATACGCTTGGCTCACTAGACGAGACAATACTGGGTTCACGAGGACAAGACGAGATGATATTTTAACTAACTTCTAATTGAAGCTGTAAAGGTGTTGCATTTACCAGTCATGTATGGGGGACTTGGACACCCACAGGAAGAAGTCTCTTTTGATTACCTTTTTAGCATGACCATTCACTGCTATTCACTGTCAGATTTGCACCACATTTAGAATCAGAATCAGAATCTGCTTTATTGGCCAGGTGTGTCAGACACACGAGGAATTTGACTCTGGTACATCGGCTCTCAATGTGTATATACATATCCCCATGCAAGGGGCAAGTGAACAGTAGACCAGCATAAGGCTGTATAACAAAAAAATAGGCAGTATTAACAAGCAACAACCAGGGCAAACAATGCAAAATCAAGCAATATAAACAGGCAGTAAAAAAAATGCAGACAGACAGGGGAATGCTCATCAAGATGAGATAATAGGAATGAGGTAGAATAAAAACTGAGTACTTAAAATAGAGACCAGGGCAAGGGGCAAGTAAACAGTACCTAGCATAGGCTGTGTAATATACCAAAAATTAGCAGTATCAACAAGCAACAAACAATGCAAAATAAGCAGTATAGACGGCAGTAAACAATGCAAGAAACAGAGGCCTGTACAAATCTGTATGATCTGTACAAGATATATTCACAGTTATTGTACTGAGGGTTATGGTCTAGTCATACTGTCGTTGGTTGAGTGTTCATCAGAGTGACCGCCTGGTCGAAGAAACTGTCCTTGTGCGTGGTTGTCTTGGCGTACAGTGACTTATAACGGTGTCTAGAGGGGAGGAGTTTGAACAGGTTGTGTCCAGGGTGTGAGGGGTCTGCAGTGATCCTCTCTGCCCTCCTTTTGACCCGTGAGGTGTACAGGTCCTCCATGGAGGGCAGGCTTGCACCATTGACCTTTTCTGCAGTCCTGACTGTCCGCTGAAGTCTGTACTTGTCCTGTTTGGTTGCTGAGCCAAACCAGACAGTGATGGAGGTGCAGAGAACAGACTCAATGATTCCTCTGTAGAACTGTATCAGCACCTCCTGGGGCAGGTCGAACTTCCTGAGCTGGCGCAGGAAGTACATCCTCTGCTGTGCCTTCTTGATGATGTTCATGATGTTGGACATCCACCATAGTTACTGCACCATAGCAACACGCCATGCTTTTTTGTTAGTACTGGATGCTAGATGGTGTTTTTTATCTATCAATGCCAACACACTGGTGGTAAAATTGGTGCTAAGGTAGAGTAGGCTACATCAGCAACATGGCTAATCAAAACACAACAGAAACTCACGGGCTGGAAACGTGACTGAAGCCATTCACGTCAGCTTGCCACAGCATGGTCGTATTGTACAGGTCTGCAACCCCTCACCCCCTGACCAATGTTAAAATGCAGCAGGAAGCTATTGACGGACTAATGTGAATGTACCATTACTTCGCCGTCACACTTCGTCATACTGGCGGCGGCTCTGGTTCTGTTACAGTGTGTACTGATATTGCAAGACAGCTTTTGCCTCGACAAAAAATATCATCACATTTTAATATCATGAGATCTTTTCACACCTCTAGAGGAAATGATTGTCCTGTAACTGTTTGACTTGGAAAAAAAGATTTATTTCAGTCTAAACTGTAAGTGGATTTACATGCTTTGTGATATGAAAATTGTTTTTAGTTATGTGTTTAATAGTGAGTAGGTCTCACTTGGGTCTTAAATCTGGAGTCTTTAAACTATTTTGACTACAGGCATTATTTTATTTTTATAGAAGGCAGTTTGTCCAACACTCTGAATGAAAAGAACAGCTTCCAGAGAGCTCATAACACCAGGGGACGACATTCCTCCCTCACAATGGACACGGTAAGAGATGTGGTTTATAGTGTGAAGAGCAAGCAATAGAGGGGCTTCTGTTAAACATATTAAGAATGCTAAGCTTAAAAATATTAAATAAGAAGTTGGGTAATGTCTTGCAATGAAGTACAACAGAAACCCAAATCTCAGATTCATAATAATTTAAGGCCATTGTCTGTTACTCATAATGGGTCACACCATTATGATGTTGAAATGCAGATTTGGAAAATCTGGAATTGGAATTGTGCATGCAACTGGTCTGTACTGAGTCTAGTGCAAATCTGTTTTTATATTCCAGGTTGCACCAAAGTTGTTGGCAGTATTTCTGAATGATAATGACACAGTCAGTGACTTTTCTGGTCAAACCCATCAGACTAAAGCAAATAATAAAACCCAGTGCGGCCAGAGCAGTATGTGGCCATGTGCTTGAGGTAGCTATTTTCATTTCCCTAGAAAACAGTGTGCAACGAATTTTTTTCTGCACTCTTGTTAGTTTTAAGTTGACAGTCAAAAAAAAAAACATTGTCAGTACCCATAGGCCTGAATGCATATTGTGTATTCTTGGTTAATATTGCCTGAATCTGGTTTTTATCTGTTACTTATTTCCTGGACACAAAAGGCAACTTGTGGTTAAGATTTTTTTTTGTACTTCACATTAAATCTATCAGTTTGAATCTCCTGATGAACAATACACAAATATTTGTGACCGGTATGAAAAGGCTTTTATCCTTGCAGTATTATTAGTACTGTTCTTAAACATTTGTCAACGTTTGTCCTTTCAGCCCACACGGAGCTCAAAGAGGAGCCGTTTGCTTCGGGAGGAAGAAGAGCAGCCACAGCAGCGTCTCCCCTCCAGGTCTCCTCGGAGGAGCCAGAGGGTCACCGCCACACCACAGGTAAAGCCTACAAACCATGAATGAGAGTCAAAGTGAAAAATGATAATAACTTGTGACTCGCATTGCTTTTAAGGACAGTGTAAAAAATGGGACAAAATAATGTTTGTCTGACACTATACCACTACTTAAAGGATCTTTTTTTTTTTCTTACCTGCTGTATTTCCCCTAAAAGTGGGTATTGTGACTCTACAGTTAGTCCTAATTTTGGTATCACTACCTTCATTATATTTTAACAAGTTTGTTTGATAACTAAGAGATGGCGGTCATTGGCTAACTTAATTGTTTGTCAACATTTCTATTTGTGCTGTATTAGTAATGGTTAAAAAAAACAAAACAAAAAAAACAATGCATGTGTCGAGGTTCTGACACCACTGGAGATTTGCTGCTTGTCATAGAAAATGAGTTGGGGTTGTGAGCAACCCCTAGGGTGCTGCGTTCTTTGTTTTTACCTTAAGTCTTCTGGTGGTTTGCTGGTAGAAAGCTATATATGTAGTGTATCTGGGAAATAACTGTTGTTTTAATATTTTTCTTTACAGAAGTTTTCTAATGTGGTGACTCCAGATAAGAAGGCATCCCAGAGAATAGGGCTGAGGTTAAGAAACCTCCTAAAGTTACCAAAAGCTCACAAATGGTGCATCTATGAATGGTTTTATTCTAATATTGACAGGTAAAGTTTCACTCTCACCCTTCAAGAGTTTAAACACATCTGGCAATTTATCTTCTGTGTATAAAAGAAGTGTTAATACGTGGCGATGAAAACCCAGCCACAGATACATTTAAATTATACTAATTTCAATATTGTTAAAGTGACCCAGCCAACTAAACAATGTTCTAACATTATACCTACACCAACAGAGGCTTAATAAACATCTTGATCAGCTGTAATTGAGTAAATTAAAGTTAACATTTTGGTTTCTAATCTAAGATTTTTTTTTTTTTTTATCTTTTCTTCCAGACCTCTATTTGAGGGCGACAATGAATTCTGTCTCTGTCTCAAGGAGTCTTTCCCCAACCTGAAAACAAGAAAGCTGACTAGAGTTGAGTGGGGAACAATCAGGAGACTGATGGGGAAACCTAGACGGTATATCCTGAACTATCCAAAACATTTTCATTTGTGATTGCGCCCCCCCATGTAAAATAGTTTATCTGGTTGTTTTATAACGATTTCTTCAAATTTGTAATCTGTAGGAATAAAAAAGGAAGGGTTTTTACAACATTGTGCTCTGTTGTCCTCTTCAGGTGTTCATCAGCATTTTTTGCAGAAGAGCGAACAGCGTTGAACCAGAAGAGGCAGAAAATGCGCCTGCTGCAACAAAGAAAACTGTTGGATGTGTCAACCTGTAAAGATCTTCCTGATGAAATCCCCTTGCCTCTCATCATAGGAACCAAAGTCACTGGTAAGATCACCCTGATTAAATGTTTGTTGTTGCAGTCATCTACAATGACCTGCAAAGGAACCCATTTTTCTGCATTTGCCTGATCTACTGCCAAGATAAACTTGGGATGCCCAGCAGAAGGATAATTTTATTCTTTAACTGATCAGAAACCTTTGTGGCAGTTAAATGTTTTTATGATTATATTATGCTCTAATAAGAAAACTGTTTAGAGCTGATGCGGAATTCTGTAATTGAAATTGCATGCCCCATGTCGGTTTGTACAATATTAGTTGTACCAATTAAGATTTGCCCTCTACATCTGGCAGCTCGACTCCGAGGTGTCCACGATGGGTTGTTCACAGGGCAGATTGATGCAGTGGACACCAGCGCTGCCACCTATCGTGTCACCTTTGACCGCAGTGGCCTGGGAACACACACTGTGCCTGACTATGAAGTCCTGGTAAGATTTGCCTGGTGCCTTGCAAAGATAACCGCTCTACTCTGAATGTTTGAGGATATACATGTAACAACTTTTATCTGTCTTTATTGTTATCACACATACAAATTATAATGTAGTGTAATTAAAAATGCTAAAACAACAAATTGTCCAAATATGAAGTTGAACAACACATATGCTCAATGAATTTCAATCCATAATACATTCTTATGCATCTTGTTTTGCCAGAGCAATGAACCCAATGAGACCATGCCCATCTCCACCTTTGCCCAGAAACACCGGACAACACGTTTCATGCAAAACCTCATGACTCCGCCTAGAGGGCCTTACCCATCTGCTGCCACTCCTGTCCTCATGGTAACACACATCAGTTATTCTGAGATGGTTGAGTTTAACTTGTCTAGTCAAAGAAGGCTGTAGAGGAATACATGCCTAAGTATATTTAGATGTGCTAGTCAGTGGCGGGATTTACTGTCTGAGGACAGATGTTATCAGGGCATCAGTGAATAAGATTGAATTGTTTGGCTTAGTTTTCCACAAAATATTTTTTAAATCTTGTAGAAACCTAATTTTAGTCTGCTATAGATTTTTTTTTTGTCTATGTATGACAAATAAAACAGATTGAGCTTTAGTTCTGAAAAAAAAAATGTAATTTATCAAGTGATAAGACAAGTGTGTATCATACTGCAACCACAGAGGAAGTCTTCAGAAAATTTGCAAATCTCTCCCTCTAGATATTGCTTATTAAGATGAATGATTCCATTGCCAGTTTATTTTTTATTTTTATTTTGTAACAGGACAATGACCCTCTTATCAATCAGTCACCATGGAGGAGTAAACTGCTCGGTGCTGAGGGAGATACTCTGGGAGGATTTCCTGTCAAGTTCCTGGTCCAAGTGGTAAACACTTACTCTTAAATGGAACACTAAAAGGTGACATTCTAAAACATGTTTACACTTTGCTCTAAACACGTTTTATTCTTTTATTTCTTTGTCCTCATGACCAGACAAGGCTGTCCAAGATCCTCATGATCAAGAAAGAGCGCATCAAGCACTTGAAAGAAATGAACACAGAAGCAGAGAAACTGGTACAGTCATTGCAATAAAAAGTTGCTTCAAAACATATTAGATGTTTCTGGGATGCATACATGAAGCCTAACTTAAAGTGTCCTTGTGTTTTTGTGTTCAGAAGTCATACTCGATGTTTATTGACTTAGACTTCCAGAAGCGATATGCTACCACAGTGCTGGAGCTTGAGCAGCTCAATAAAGATCTGAACAAGGTGCTTCATGAAGTTCAGCAGTTCTGCTGTGAAGTGAGTCAGCATACAGACTTCAGTCCCATCACTAGTTATTGTCCCTGGAGTTAAGTAGAAGAAAAGATTCAAGATTTTTATTTGCCATTTATGCATAAGCAGAGAGTCTGGGCATATAGGAATTCTTGTACAGCTCTCCTTTGGAGTCAGGTGAGGAGCCAGAAGCCAGAAAGAACACTTAGTCTTAAAATAAAAAGTTACATAAAGGTGACCAAGTATTAAAACACAAAACACAAAAATAGGGTAATAGTATTTCCCACAGTGAATTTCAATCATCACACTTAGTAATTCACATGGTGTGATCATTACGCTTGGAAAAATGAAAAAATGGTACCTGCGATATTTGATGCTAGTCAGTCTTGAGCAGCCTGTTAAATCAACAGAACCTTGTTTAAGATGATAATCACCATTGTCTGTCTGTCCAGCTTGCTCCAGACCAGGGCATGGTTCCAGCTGACCATCCCACAGAGTTGCGGCGGCGTTGTGAAGAAGAAGCCCAGCAGATGGTGCAGTTGAGCAACTCCCTGAAGGACGGACAGCAGAGCATGACAAACACCAGTCTGACACACCTCATGTCCCGCCTCACTGCTCTGCTCCTACAGATCAATGTAGAGAACCTATGTATATTCACTCAGCTGCTGTCTCCTTTGTGCTAATAGGTGGCACCAGTTTTAAAGGCAAAAACACACCAAGTCAGTTTCATCTAACACAGTTGTCATAAAATTAGGGAGTCCTCCACATATTTGGCAACAACATGAATGTATCCAACTGTCACCAATGCATATATATACACTTCATTGATATTTTGATTATGTATTATTTATTTAAATGTTCTGACTTGTTTCAGTGTCTGGCAGATGGAGGAGACCTGAATTCATTTGAATTCAAATCTCTAACAGATTCCCTTAATGACATTAAGGCATCAATTGATCCCACCAATTTCAGGTAAATGATGCTACAGTGTTTCTGTGGACATGCATACTTTGATATATTGACTTTTTTTTTTTAATGATACTGTTTCTGGTGATGTCTAATTCAGTTTTACTAATTGTCATCACTTTTATTACCGACTCTTCTGTCTTTACAGTTGCTTCCAGAACAATGTCGAGATCCACGTGGCACACATCCAGAGTGGCCTTAGTCAGCTGGGCAATCTGCATGCATTTGCTTCCAACAACACTAATGCAGTCTGAGTACCTGTATCATCTTCAACACACATGGGATCACGCACACACGCAGATGTGTGGACCGTTCATATTGCCTTTAGAGAAGGTGCTTTCACCGAAAGTGTCAGCAGACTTTGATCACAAGCTAACATGGATGTTTTGGACCACCTCTACACAATCTGAATTTGGATCTCCCAGTGAAACAACTCTGTCCAGGTTCCTGAAGCTTTCCTCTGAAAAGGGAAGGTGTCATGAATTTTACCCACCCATTTTATTGTATGAAAATGTTTGTGCACCTAACTGGACACAAATCTGCAAAGTCTTTCACTAATGCCACAAGCCCACATCTCCAAATTCTCAGTGGTTATATATTGGTCTTGTGCCAAACATTGATTCTTACAGTTTTTATAGTCCATATTTATTTATTTTTGAGTAGGTGTGTATGGTTGTGAAACAATATTTTTCTATCTCTTCAGTTTCCTTAAGTGTTGTGCTCTGCTGTTCTTCTGATAATAAGCATAGAGGGAAGCTAAAAATGTTTTATAAAAATGTTTATTGTAGATAATTGTACAATATCTCTGATTACTAGGACTATCCTTGGCATTTCTGCTGTGTGCACTGAAAAGAGATTTTGGTATTTTTATAAAGGAAAACTCTGGGGTTTTGATGCCTTTTACTCCCTAAGATGGTCTTAGCAGTTCCACATTTGGCATGGCTGTTGCTGCAACACACTCTTAAAAATTAAAATTAACAGTTTTTTCCTAGAGAATCTGCTTTTTCAGTTTTGTATAGTTGTATATGAGAGTGCCTCAGGGCAACTGTATATGAATGTTTGTCTTTTTATATTAAATACTGTAAAGTAGCATTTCATCTTTTAGTTTTTATTAACAGATCAATCCATTCAACAGTTTTATTACTCTTTTACAATAAATACACATTTCCTTTTACCCAGACAACTGCTATACTCCCCATTCTGATGCATATAGCTTTCCTTACATCAGCTCTTATGATACATTTGTCTTTGGTTAGACCAGCTCTTATAATGCATCACATAAAACCACCAAGGCCAGCCATAGCCTCATTTTCCCAGTCAGAGTCTGAGTCAGTAAAGTCCTGTGTCTCATTGCCATGGATTGGAGAGAAATGACTGAATCTGTCCCCTGTGGCCCTCATGTTTGGATACTGGATTTGGCACCCAGTATCCTTTGGTGACGACATGTTGAAGCTACTCTGGGTCGGAATGGGAGGGATCACAACTTTCATCTCAGGTCCAATGGTTTTGTTCGGTGGGAAATTGTCATACTCCACCAGAACTTTTGAACCTTGGTTTCCAGTCGTGTTAGCCTCAATCTTGGAGTGATGCTCATTCTCCTTGGAGTTAAGATATATGTTACAGCATGGGACATTAACACTCAGCTTGCGTCCCTGCAGCTGCTCAGGCATCACTCTGGTTCCCTCGTTCTCATACATGCAGGAAATAGGGGTGTGTTCATAGCTGCTGGGTTTGGTTTGGTGCTGGTCTTCTGTGTTTTGATGCATTACAGGCCTGAAACCTTCCTCTGACCCAAAACCTCCTACTCTGTATGCCTCTGCGCCATGGTTGTTGTCATAAACTGAAAGGTAAATAAAAAGAGAACCAAGCAGTTAATCCTGAAACTTAAGAAACCTTATGCCTTCATAATTTTCTTTTACCAAATGTGCAGATTGGAGAGGAGTAATTTTCCAAAGAAAATATTATGTGAACTATGTGACTGTAACTGAAGTATAAAATACATTTAGGATATTTCAGCAACAACTTGTAACACAAAATAATGTCTTAAATTGATATACTACACATTTGTTTGGGTAAAATGAAAAAAACTACCTGCTATATTTGATGCTAGTCAGTCTTGAGCAGCCTGTTAAATCAACAGAACCTTGTTTGAGATGATAATCACTGTTGTCTGTCTGTCTTACCTTTCTCTGTGCCCATCTTTCTGTGGAGTTGGCTGAAGGGGCCAGCTACCGGTGGATTGGCGACTTTCATGGACACTGATGAGCTAAGTTGGCGACGAGATTTGGCCCTTCTATTCTGAAACCACACCTGAAATTTGTGGAGAAAAAACCAATAACGTTTCAACGATTTGGTCACATTTTAGTTCCATTCTTAGTTTATATGATTGTGTTCATTCTCAAGCTGTATTTTCCCGCACAAAAACCATCAATTAAAAAGAGGAATTTAAAGGAAGATCACCTGAATTCTGGACTCCGGTAGCCCGGTCAGAGCCTCCAGCCTCTCTCGTAAGTATATGTCAGGATATTTAGTGTCTGAATACACTTTCTCCAGCACCTCGATTTGCTGCTGGGTGAAGTTGGTCCTCTTTCTCCTGTGGGTCAGTATTGATACGTATTTATCCTGCCTCGGTGCAGAGTTTTCAGAGTTGAAGTAGTTTGTAACATCTGTGGCACCATAATCTGAAAGGAAAACATATAATCTGTGCAGTTTTTATAGGAGATGAGAAAGACAAGGAGAAACTACGCTGGACTTGTGCGTAAATTACGCAGAAGACGCAGCCTTTATCTTCCTTGTGACCAGTGTGCGATAAGCCTTGGCGAATTCTTCGCCACCAACCTGAGTTCACCATGCCCATGTTGTTCAGCTGAAGAGGCCCTTCGTGGTACATCTGGAAGTGATTCATATCCCCGACGCGCATATTCCCATGAATTGCAGACATGATCCTCTACGTGTTATCTCCTGCGACCGACTGCGTTTGAGACCTGTGCGCTCGCTGGGGTTAAATCCCCCTGTGATCAAAGGTGGTGCTGTCTGAATGTGTGAATGGGGCAGCCATCAGTTCCGACTGGCACTTGGCACTGCAGCGGCCGAACAGCTACTTCAGACGTCTGCGGGCCGGTGGAGGTGTGAAGCTATCACACCTCGGACGGTGGAGCGGCCGCAGGTCTCTCCAAAGGGGTTTTAATAGAATCTGCGTGTTCAATACACATCGACAGAGAAAACATTTATCCGCTTTGGAATGGATGAAGCAATAACCGACCTGTTGCTTCAAAGACGGACAGTCGGAAACTGCCATTTCCTCACCGTGTTTGAGGCGCACCACGAGTGTAGTTTGCTGCTTGATGATCACAGAAATGTTTACATTCATCTCAAATTTATATAATAAGTTATGTTTTATAAACGTATTATTCCTCTGATATTTGCTCCCCTATACAGCATTTAGGAAATTATGCTTCCTGTCCCCTTTCAAAGGCAAAAGTTAATACAATATGCAATACACAAACCTCAGTTCAGGGTGGGCACTTGCTACTGAATGGGTCACCTTCATTTCATTCAAAGGGGGATCAAGTCAAGAGGTCAGGCAGCCTCACAGACTAATTTGTTCTTATGTATTTGGACAAATATGCATGTATTAGTGTTTATACACTTGTAATAATAATCTGAGTTGATTTGCAGGTGAGATTGTACATACTTGGACAATGAAACAATATATATTGTGCCTCATCTTTAATTACTTTAGGTGTGGGTTGATATGGTGACTGCAATATAAACTGAAAGCTGTTTACCACATATACAATCATGGCATTTAATGGATACAGTTCTTATGACAAGTCACTAGGGAGAACATTGCATTTCTGTCAGAATGAGTGTTAGTCAGCATTTAACTATCATCGTTCTAAGTCTTATAGCATAAAACAACAATGGTTTTCTCAGGTGGTTTTCTTCTTTTTTTTGCTGATCTCTGTGGGGTATTTAGCTGATAGCCATTGTGTCACACCACAGCTCTGTTTTTGACACATACAGCATTGTTGGGGTAGGATGTGCTTGTTGGTAGAGTCATTCACAGTTCACAAGGTGCTTTGTCTGAAGACCTTAACTGTCTGTGTGCACAAACCAGATTGCTTTGCTAAAACCAGACTGTTGAAGTTCCCAAAATGCTGAATATTCTTCATCTGTGGCCATGACTTACATCAGTTATGGTCAATGAAAAATATTACTTCAACATTGCAAGTGCAGAAAAACTGGAATGCATTTTTGCTCTTAGTGTTTGCATTCAGCTGTAATTTTCAACAACTTCCAACCCATAACAGAGATTTGACATTTGAATTAGATTAAAAGAATGCAGTTCTAGGTTGATGACTGCTGATGTATTGTAGTTAACAGACTGCACTTTCAAACATCAAACAGTAAAAACCTGTTGGGATCTGTACTGACTATTTGCAGCTGCCTGTGTAGACAAACACACAAGCATATTCACACTTTTAAAGACTGACCACTAACCCCCAGGTTGACTTGACACATTTAATCTGGAGACAGACAGGTAAATTATCCCCACAACTTTGCAGGTATATGTTAAAATCTCAGCTCTTTTATGGACCTTTGTTATGAGCCCAGTCTGTGTGTATTTGGGAGAACTACAGTAATAGTTTTGTAAAGGTACCTATAATAATAATAAAAAAAAACTAAAATACAAAAAGGAACTTCTGAAAAAACGTTTGAATAATTTTCATGTGATTTGTTAAGTTTTGTGTATCTTATGTCTAAGTCTGCAAGTACTCTGTGGTTCCTCTGGTTGCAGGACAACTTATTCTCATGGACAAGGAAGTTAAATTTGATTTAAATGGATTTTCTGTTTATCTTTTGGTCATCATATTAAATATAAAGCAGACAAAAAAAACCGACACTGCACTAAGCTCCCGGCTATTTGTATTTCAGCAGCAATGTTGCGATCTAAACAAAACCTTCATCAGGCTTTTGACAATGCCTTATTGACATCTTTAGCAGTCTGCATATTTAAAGCAATTTATTATAAAAATGCGCATATTTAGAGCATGTAGACTACAAATAAAATTACTGTCAATTCAACAGTCAAATGCACGTAGGTCAAAATTATTAATATGGCCTATGTTTTTATGACTGTTTACATTGTCACGTGTCGTACATTTCAACCGTACTAAAATGATTGTTAGTTCCTATTGGTTTTTCCTACTACTTATAGACGCAACATCAAATTAATCGAAAATAGATAGATAGATAGATAGATAGATAGATAGATAGATAGATAGATAGATAGATATGCTTTGTTTTTTGCCTGAGTAAAATAAACAAGTGTTTTACAGTAACAGTCTTGTATCTATCATGTTCTTAAAATACGATAAATGTGGAAAAGAATCAGTTGTGTAGCAGTCCTAGGTGTAAAAAAAAAAAAGAAAAAAAAAAGTATGCCTATAAACGATCTTTCTGTCTGAGCATCGTCACTATTAAGTTTCCCGGAACTTCCGCCAAGTGTAAACGGAAGTAGGTACGTGGCTGCTTCAGCTGACAGGCTACATGATGGCGACAGAGGTTCAGAGCGGTGACCTCGATAGTGCTACTTCTAGCCGGCTCGAAGTTTCTATCGATGGCCTTACCCTCAGTCCTGACCCGGAGGGCGAACAGGGTCAGGTCGGAGAGCCGGAACCTAAACCCGCCGAAACCAAGTCTGATACGCCTGATGCCACTGAAGGCGAAGATGGAGAGACTGCCAAATCTGTGATAGAGAGGAAATGGGGCTTTCCTTTACAAGAGCTGTACGGAATGGCCCTTAAATTTTTCAAAGGTAATGATGTAGTTTTTTCGTAGAAGACGGCTAGCATTCGAATTGAATGTTAAACTCAAAATGGGAGACGACTCACTCGCTGGTTGAGGTTAGCAGTTTGCTAACGTTAGCTGCTAGCTGTCACTGCCTGTGGTTGCTGCTGTCAGCCGCAACGTTACATTAGCTACACAGCTAACGAGTAGCTAACTAGCTGTTGGCTGGCTGGTAAGAAAGGATAAAGCAAACAGGGCACTTCCGAGTAGTCTGTTCGCAGGTTCTCTGTGTGCGAACTTTGAACATTTTCATCTATTAGCTGCATCCCTGGCGTTGCTTCCCTTTATCGTACATTTGTTGGCAGTGCTCTCTGTTCAATCAACTAGCGTTACCCGATAGAAGAAATGCAAACGAATAGTAAGCAGCTATCAGTCCGAACTGAATGGTGGTTCATAAAGATTTGTTGGGGAGTTTAGACACGCCCTGTCCTGTCACTGCCATGGCTGAAGGATGTCTGTTGATCATTTGCTTATAAAGGCTGACTCCGATTCCTTCTGTGGAGAAGTTCTTCGGGTTACGCTGCTTGAACACATTTAAAACACTTTAAACACTGGGCATTTGTCATGTTTTTGTTACCGCGTAATGCTTACTCTAATCGTGCAAACGGGCTTGGACCTGGATGCCAGTCTGTAGTAATCCGTGATTTGCTTTTTAACTCAGTTTGGGTTGGGGCTAATTGCTTACATTGTATGCATAAATCTGTTTTCTTCCTTTACCTTAAAGTTGCAGTGTGATCTTGAAATGTGATATTTTAGCTGTGTACGATGTCCATGTTTTTTTTTGTTTGCAAAGGATAAAGAGCACAGTCAACAGTGAAATTGTCCAGTGCCCTGCTTTTATGCTACCAACACATTAACTAAGACAGAAAGAGGCATTGTATTGGCAAGTGCTTGTCACAGCAAGACATAAACAAAT